TATCGAAGGGAATCCAAGTATATGTAGTACAGGTGGCTGTGAAGAGTCCTCGCAAAACACATCCAAGAAAAAGAAACTTCCCGGTTTTGTGATTCCTTTAGCTGCATCACTTGCAGGGCTCATTCTCATTGCTACTATATCTGCAGCTATACTGTTTATCTACATTAGAAAGAAAAAACAAGGTATGTTCTTCATGTAACATAACTTGTTTTCTTAGTTTACATGATATGGTTTACAGGAAATGTTTACAATTCTATTGCAGGTCGAATGATTAGCAGGGCAGTCACAGCTTCAAGTAATGGACCGTCATTACGTCGGAGAGATACTGGTTCAATGCGTCCATCACTGCAGCGAAGAGAAACTACTTTCTTCTCTGCACATCCATCTTTACAGAGAATAGAGAGTAGTATGACAGACCATGAAGTGAATGAAACAGCAGTGGATGACTTTGATATGGAACCTGCAAATAGAAAATTTACGTACGCTGAGATTGTGAATATCACAAATGGGTTCGAGAGAGATCAAGGGAAAGTAGGCTTTGGGAGAAACTATCTCGGACAGTTGAATGGTAAAGAAGTGACTGTCAAGCTTGTGTCTTCATTGTCTTCTCAAGGCTACAAACAACTCAGAGCAGAGGTATATTTCAAATCTTTAAAACCATAAATGCAATGACTCTTGTGTAATGTATGAAGAGAGGAGACTTAGAGGAGTTTATGTGCATGCTAATTGTAGGTCAAACACCTTTTCAGAATTCATCATAAAAACCTTATAACCATGCTTGGTTATTGCAATGAAGGCGATAAACTGGCGGTTATCTATGAGTACATGGCTAACGGAAACTTGAAACAACACATCTCAGGTTTTTTTTATCTTGCAAAATGCTTTATAGTCTTTTTCTGTATTAAAATTATTATAAATTTTGAGCCCGTAGACCAGTATATCCCTAAATCGAGGCTCAGATCATGTAAGTTAGATCTTCTTTAAAGAGCTGACCACTACCTCCAAGATATCTACTAAATTTTCTTATTGAGGTAAAACCAATATTTAGCTTTTGATCTTGTATTGTGCAGAGAGCAGTCCAACTGTCTTTAGCTGGGAAGATAGACTTGGAATTGCGGTCGATGTTGCACAAGGTTAGCATCTCACACCCACTCTGGTTTTGTTCTCTTGGAGTTGTGTTTCTGTAATGAAACTTTAACGTGTGAAACTCCCTTGTCTCTCTCTATAGGACTTGAGTATTTGCATACTGGCTGCACTCCACCGATCATTCACAGAAACGTCAAGTGCACAAATGTATTCTTAGATGAAAATTTCAATGCCAAGTTAGGCGGTTTTGGCCTTTCGAGAGCGTTTGATGCAGCAGAGGGAAGTCATATGAATACAGCCATAGCCGGGACGCCTGGATATGTCGACCCCGAGTAAAAAGATCTAAAAGCTCAAATTTTATCTAAATTTCTCAAAACTCTGCTATTTTTCTAATAAATATTGGATGTTTTCCACACTGCAGGTATTACACATCAAACATCTTAACAGAGAAGAGTGATGTGTACAGTTTCGGTGTTGTTCTACTAGAAATTGTTACTGCAAAACCCGCGATCATAAAAGATGAGGAAAGGATGCATATAAGCCAATGGGTTGAGTCTTTGCTCTCAAGAGAAAACATTGTAGAGATTCTTGACCCTAGCCTTTGTGGAGACTATGATCCATCCTCTGCGTTTAAGACCGTGGAAATCGCTGTGGCTTGCGTTTGTCGAAACTCTGGTGACAGACCTGGAATGAGTCAAGTAGTGACTGCTCTTAAGGAGAATTTGGCTGCAGAAGTTGAGAGGAAAAAGGATTTGCCTATTGTATCAACAGATTCAGTTGAAGATCTTGCACTTGGCTTTGGTTCCAATCCACCTCCTCGTTTGCGATGATTTCTGTATTGATTTTGTATCTCAATGTTTGGTCTCTGTATAAGCATGTTTGATGTATAATTTCTTTTTGTGAAATTGGAGTTGTAACAAAATGAAAAAGGTTTTTCATACAGGTTTTGATCTAGATTTGAACATGTTTATGTGTGGATTGGTACTGTCTGCTCCTGTGTTCTTGTACCTATGTCTTTGGATGCAAATGGCTTGATTGACACATTCACGTAAAATGGGGGGAAAATGTTAGCTCCAATATTTAGAGACAGCAAGGAAGTTGCAAGAAAAGAATAGCAGGCCAGTTCTGAAATTGTGGGGGAGGGGGGTGTAAGAACTTCAAGAAAAAGTTATGTGTTTACTGAGTCGTGTCCATATCCGACCCTGGAACGAAGCTTACATGAAGTAATGCACCTAGTGCAAGATACACATAATGGTCGGTGCATAATTGGAGAAGTCGTCAAGAGCCAAGCTAACAAGGTTGTTGTGGCCGCCAAGACTAAGATGTTAGCTTATATCAGGAAAGAGTTAGGATCTTTGGTGAGTGAAAACAAAAGTACAATTTGTAGTGCTGGTAAGATCGGGTAGATTAAGAATTGGTCAGTGTCAGAATCACGAGTGTAATATGTAGACCCCTAACCAAGGAACAACAGAAATGAAAAAGAACTCAAATTATTTTTTATTCAATCATCTATGAGGTCAAAAAATAATGACAATACCTGTAATATCATTGTGGAAGAAGAGACTTATTAATGATCACTTGTGGTGTTTACAGTCCAAACTCAACCACTTTCCAGAACTAAGCCAAAGAGATATTGCCAAGTGTAAGATCTTTTAGTACCCAAGAATCTTGGGTGCAAGTTCCAGCAAGGGTTCCAGTGCACTCGGAGAAAACTTTCTAGCAAAGAGATAACAAACAGGAGATCTCTGATCATTGTAGAAGCAGGCTTTAGCTCCTGGAAGCTTCTTGAGGAAATCTTCCGTTATATCAGCCTTACTATAAGTAGCTGGATGAGCACCACCACGTGACCAATCTGTCCATGTCAGTGTCCTGTTCGCCAGAAAAATCCTATGTTTCATAGACAACATTGTAGGGAAGTAATGTTCATCAACATAACATGGTGGTTTACAAAACTCTTTGAATTTGGGATAGTAAGTGGTGTCTTGAACAATCTCAAGAGCGAGTTTCCGGTTTATTTCAAACCACTGAGACCCTTTTCTCCACTGACTAAGTGTGATCTCAGGTTCCATTCCATTTCTATATCTTCCTCTTCCATCAGGTCCTTCCTCATCAGCACAACCCATGAAACTATATCTTGATCCAGAGACATAACCATACAAAAAGCCGAAACCGCGCAGCGGAATGCATGATTCAGATAGCAGGATAAACCATTCATTAGATATATCGAGCAACGCATTAGCTAGAAGCCTCCTTTCAGCTTCACACATACTCATCTCTCCCCATGCCACAGCCTATAGTTTAGTAAAAAAAAATCACACATGTGAGGAGAACACAACACTGAGAAAGTGGTTGTAAGCTGAAACATCAATGACAGTACCTGACTTGGGATGTATCTTCTGTAAAACACAGATGAACTTTCAAAATCCGATCTGTAATTAGGCAATGCATGGACATAGATTGAGTAAAGACCCTTATGTCCCTTAAAGAACATCTCCCAGAGTGGAGCAAATGGTAAAGGCCCCTTGGTTAGAAACATGAAAGCCAGTTTAGGAACTCTTTTAAACGGATAGACATGTCTCCGTGGCTCCATCGAAGCGCGCCAAAGCAATTCACTATCATCCATAGTGTGCCAAACATTCGAAGGAGGCCTAATAAAGGTCTCTAAAGTAACATCTCCATGATCATACATAGAAATCAAAGTGGTTGAAGAAGCCACAGGATCTTGAATCTTGAAGAACTTGATCATGTGTATACCAACAACCGAGATCCCAAGAGTCAAAACAAGAAACAATAACAAAACCTGAAGCAGACGTATTGACACAAGAGCCCTAGATTGGTGTGTGATTCTTGATTTAGGGGGTGATGCAGAAGCATTATCTCTAATAACCCCTTCTTCCACATCCATCACTTTTATCTAAATTATCCCAACTTTTTGATTTTGGTTAGGTTTCGACAATGTTTGTCTGATGAATCCATAGAGAAATGTTTTTTTTTCTAAAAACTCTAGTTAGATTTGTCATTTTAGTGTAACATAAGCATAAACCTAGGAAACGCATAACGTTGTTTGACGGTTTCAGCTTTTAGTTTCACATTATGAACGGTGAAAACTGTTTATACAATTAATACTCCCACGCTTAGAAACATAAGTTTCCATCACAATAAAACTCTCTCATTACAACGGTCCAATCACTAGCTTGTTATATATCCCCCATCAGATGGACATTGTATATAGCACTTTATTGATCTTTACATGGAAGCCTCTGTAAGAAAAAAAAAATGACATTTCGACGAGTAGGGGAGATAAAGAGAACATAGAGCCAATAATGGCATCAAAGTTCATCTTTTTGGTAACTCTTATTAGGCGATGAAGTTTTCAAGTCAAGAAGATATCTTGTGGCCATGGAGGCATGAAGGGAAGCACCATAAGGTAGTAAATCTTCATTGACCTCGAAATAAGGCGAGTGAGGGCTCGCCATTGTTGAATGAGCTTCATCTAGCATACCGACAAAGCTAAAGTGTCCAGGCATTGCTTCTTGGTAGAAAGAGAAATCCTCTGATCCCATCAATGGTTGCATCTCGACGTAGTTCTCAGTCCCTAACATGTCACCTGAGACGTTCTTGAAGAACATGTGCAAGTCTTTGTTGTTAACAGTCGGTGGGAAGAATGGTTTCTCCTCTTTAAGGAAATCCACTGTTGCATTGCACATATGCACGCTTGCTTGCCTTGTGATAACCTGAAAACATTGTTTAAAAGCTTTGCCTTAAAGTAAAGAGTTAGACAATAGTCTTAACACTACACATCAGTGTGGACTGACCTGCTCAATTCTTTTCTTGAGTTGCGTAAAGCTTTTGGTTGAAAAGGCTCGGAATGTACCACCGATAGTAACCGAGTCTGGTATCACATTAAAAGCACCACCGCCTTCAAATTTAGCAACTGTAACTACCTGCAAACACACTCACATACATCAACGCATTTCATACTTAAAGAGCCAAAGATTGTATCTATACCTGAGAGTCTAAAGGATCTGCCTCTCGTGAAACGAGGTGTTGTAAGCTAACAATAACGTTGGAAGCTGCCAGAATCGGATCTATGGCGTGCTGAGGAAGAGCTGCGTGACCACCTTTCCCGCTAATCTTAGCTTCGAAAAAGCCACTACCAGCCAACAATGGACCTTCTCTTGAGCTCACTTGACCTAAACTCAGTTGATTTGTAACATGTAACCCAAAGATTGCACTCACATCTTCCAATACTCCAGCTTCAACAATCTTCTTTGCACCTCCTCCTCCTTCCTCAGCTGGTTGAAAAACTAGAATCACTGTACCCTAAGATGGTGTACAAGAATCAAGAGATGAGGAATGCTTCCAAATATTTCAAGATTTGAAAAATTCAGTACACTACCAACCTGTAGCTCATCTTGGTGTTCTTTGAGCAACTTTGCAGCGCCGAGGAGCATTGTAGTGTGAGCGTCATGCCCACAAGCGTGCATCTTCCCAGGAACCTTACTCTTGTGCTCCCATTCCACCATCTCCTACACAATCCAACACAACTTTTACAATAAGAATCCACCCAACATAAAGCAATACTTCTCCTTAACTCCACCAAAAATTAAATCAGATCTACAAGTCAACTAAAGAGAGAGCATTTTGCTAGAAACAAGTTAGATTTCCAAAAAAAAANAGCGTGCATCTTCCCAGGAACCTTACTCTTGTGCTCCCATTCCACCATCTCCTACACAATCCAACACAACTTTTACAATAAGAATCCACCCAACATAAAGCAATACTTCTCCTTAACTCCACCAAAAATTAAATCAGATCTACAAGTCAACTAAAGAGAGAGCATTTTGCTAGAAACAAGTTAGATTTCCAAAAAAAAATAAAACAGCCTAAACTACAGTGATTTAACTACTCTAAAGAATCACATGTAACAAGACAGAACACATGTTCCATGAAGAGAGTGAACAATGTTTCAAAGTAATAATTAAATTCAAAGAATTTTTCAACTGAAGTATAGTAATTTAACTACTCCATAGAGGCACATATAACCACAATCTTCCTTCATGGAGAAGAGACAGAAGAGATGTTCCTCGTTTAAAGTGCTCAATGACAGAGTCAAAGCAACGTTTTCTCTCACATCTAATTATTTATAATATTGAAAATCAGTTACCTGCATAGCAAGTGCGTCCATGTCTGCTCTCAAGGCAACAAAAGGGGCTTGACCAGTTCCGACATAACCAATAACACCGGTTAGAGCAACTGGGTACTTGTAAGACACTCCCATCTTCTCCAGCTCTGTCCTAACGAGCCTAGATGTCTCTACTTCCTCGTAACCTAACTCCGGATTCTCATGGATTTTTCTTCTGATCCCAACCATCCAGTCGAAAAAATCTTCTCTTTTAGCTAAAGCAAGAAAATTTCGAGGGATTTGAGAGAACCCATTTGAGGTTAAGGGAGATGAAGATGAAATCTGACAAGAGTTGAGCAAGTCGATGATCAAAACAAAAGAAACCCATTTGCAGAAACTCATGGCTATTTTAATCGATTGATTGGATACGAACCAATCGATTGAAGAGAATATGAGATCGAAGAAGAAGAAGAAGAAGGAAGAGTTCTCTGCGTGCTGATGAAGCAGGGAAACAGGAAGCACAAAACGGTATTTAAATACACAAACAGCGAAAGCAAACTTTTAATTGTGTTTCTATTACAAAAACTATTAAATTATATTTTTCTTTGATCAATCATCTAAAGAAAGAAAAACATTGTTTTTCCTTAATTGTAAATTGTAATGATCAATTTGCTAACTGTTTTGAAAGGAGTGATGGGATCTTCTTTGGATTAAAACGTGTAAATAAATAAGCAAAGCGAGGTGGTTCTACAATTCTTCATGTGTCTCTGTTAGAGTTTCTGCATCTGAAATTTGTAATTATGACGTCTAAGAAAGGTTTTAGGGGAAAACTAGTTGCACAAGCAGCCAAATATGATTCCTAATTAACATTGTAAGATCAAACATATACAAGTTTTTTCTAAAAAAATTGTTAATAAATATCTTTAAAACATTATGAAATCTTATAAACATAGAAATAAACTCTATTGTGAATATAAATACAATTGTGTTTATATAAATTGTAGATCTATATATATTATTTATTTATAATTTTAATAAGATTATATATTTATAAAGAATCTTTTAAGCTATTATTATTTTATTAATCTTATTAAAAAAAATTATAAATTGAATCGGTCTAATTCCAAACCGAGAAAATTATTATTTTAATTTTTTATTAATTTATCAAATATTAATTTATAGAATTTTATTGTAAATATTTATAAAAAAATCTGAAGTCACAGTACTTCTTATTTAAAATATCTATAATTTTATTGATATAATAAGTATTATCATAAATTAAGATTTTGAAAATGTGTAGTACAGTTTATATATTAAACAATTTTACCACTAGTTTGGATCCCAATTCTGTTTCGACTTTCTATATGTATTACTAATTCAAATAACAATATTCAATAGAATCACAAACTATGAAAATATTTATATGAATACTGTTCTTCCTATTAATTATTTATCAAGCAAAATATTTCCACATGATTTATATTTTAACAAGAAAAAATATTAACATATTATTACAAATAAAATGCATGATTTATAAAGAAAAAAAAATCAAAAAGATAAATTATTGCCTATTTTTATAGCTTAACTTGGTTTTTTATGTGTATAAATTAATAATTTATAGACATATAATAGGATAAATAAAATAAAAATGTAAATAATGAATGGAAATAGTTAAGTTTTTCCTATTTTAATAATTATTAGCAATGACTTTTACTAATATTCTATATATTTATTCTTTTATAGTTGGATTTAAGTTGATACAGGTCAATAAAGTTTTTGGGCTAGAGTCAACATAAAACATTAAATAATAACTATACTAATTTTGGGTCACATTACCCCGTACAAACATGCTGTCTCAGCCACTGATCTAAAGTTTGCGTCTGACAGATTGCATTTCATTTTCATGTACTGATTTTCAAATCATAGTTTCTTGTTTGGAAAATCATTTCATTTTTTGCAGTTTCATTTTAAGTAATTGTGTCACGTGAAAAGTTCAAAAAAAATTTGAATGGTTCTTATTGAATTTGTTGGCCGATCCATTTGTTGTTGATACAAACAGCTAGGCTTACACATGTAGAACGTGTTTAATGTATTCTATTAGCTTTTTCCTTTTTTCAGATATTTTCTCTATTTTAAATCTTATTTTGCAGAATATTCAGTTGGTTGATTATTGATGACATGCTGTTGAATGTGATATACACTAGCTTAACTTTATAAAAATCATATGGACAAATCGAAACAAAAGAGGCAACTCACATTTGAGTTGAGTTCACTTTTTCTTTGATGGTTTCTAAAGAACAAAAGCTTTAATCTATTTGTTCTCTCTTAAAGAGATAAACCGAACTGTATGAAGGAGAGACTCAATGAGGAACACAAAACAAGAACTTGAGAGTTCAAAAACAAACAATGAGTTATAACCTGAAACAAACAACTTTCTCTAAGCAGCAATATCATCTCTCTAACCCTTCAGTTTTACACCTCAACAACTAGCTATTACTATATGTACATTTGTTCACTTTCAAATTCTCTTTATTTTCTGTCTCTACTTATGTTTTGCCTCTCTTGCATAACTCAAAGTTTCAGTCTTTATACCCAAAACCAATCAGTGATGACTTCTCCTAAAGCATATGCTTCAAAGCCCAAGAAGATTGATGAAGAGAAAACAAAAACAAAAACGTTAAAGCCAGCCAAAAGTTATCTCATGCTTTGCCTGCAGATGGCAATGGTCGGTGTTGCGTTTGTCTTGCTGAGCCTTTCAACACTTGGTTTATCCTACTGAAGACTACTTTCAACGGTATACAAGCTACAACCGTTTCCTTTATCTGTCTAGTTGTCTGCATCTTGCTTCTTCCCGCCACCCTCTGGCTCGTTAGAATAGAGAACCGCCTTGTCTTTATGGATAGGGAAGAAGGTTTCTTCTTTGACTTCAATGACTTTCCAAAAGCTCCCTGTGATTTCCCTTTCTTTTTGGACAATGACTTCGCCTTCACAACAGTTTGAGACATCACCATACCGTTGTAGTAGTCTTCTTCCAAGGCTTCAACACTAACATGATGCCCAACAATAGCTTTACCATTTAACTCACTCATACGAGAAACCAGAGAAACGCTGGGTTTGTTAGAGCTGGCTTTTACCTCAATCTTCACTTCATACAGTGCAGGAAGAGGCAAAGGACTGATGTTATTAGCAACTTCTCCGTACACAAATCTTCTCGCTTCTTGTTTCTTACTCATCTTCCTCGAGTTCCTCTTTCCTTTTAGTTGCCACTCAGAAGTGCTCTTCTCAATCCTGTTCAAATCATATATGATAAGTTGTGTATCTGGTGGACTTGTCAAACCAGAAACAAGAGCTTTCCTTGATGAGGATACTGTTCAAGCTGCCAGAAGACCTAAAAATGACAATGAAAATCAGTATAAATCACACAAAGAGGCAAATGATTTAGCCATGGAAACATAAACTTACCTGCAGAAAGTTTATCCTTTCCAGTTAGTGGAACATCATATAGTTGGTCAGACGAATCATCCTCCGCAGAAACTGATAAGCTTGAAATATCACTGTCTTTTGCCTTGTTGTAATGGGAGGCTCCAACAACAATCTCAGAAGCATTCTCGCATGAAAATGAAACTTCAGTAGTACTGTCTAAACTGTTGTTGATTACAACAGACACACTTTTCATGGATTCTACAGGTTCCAGTCTCGATACTTTGCTGTCATTATAAGTAAGAAGCTGGTCAGAGGCAAGAGGGACACAGACCATAGCCGTACTCTCTAGCACCTTTGTCAGTTGCCGGCGTCGGGTTTTCCGTTTAGAGGACTCGTTAGCATTTATGACTTGTGACCTTTTTCTTTTCAGTGACAACGGGGAGCATGGCTTGTCTCCGTTAGAGACTGAATCAGAGTTCAAACCCACTTCTTGGCTATACACGAAATGTTCTTTTCCAATATCCTCAAGCCCTCTCATTCGCTTGATTCCTTCATCTTCCGAGTCTTTTGGTGTTCTTCTTCTCTTTGGCTGCAGAGCTCCCACGTTATTCATTTCTTGAGAAGACATACTGGACTGCAACAGCTCTGGTGCTAAATCAATTCAGGATGGTCTTGTTTGGGAAGATGTGCATTCTCAATCTCGAGAGCAATGTTGATGGCGATTTCTCGGCGAGTTAACTTGGCAATCTTCTTCTTGCTAGCCTTCGAAGCAACAGCAGTCTTTGACTTGTCAATGTGAGAATCATACTCTCCACAACGAAAGGCCTTGACGCTCTTGAATTTTTCAAGGATATACCATTCCCTAGAGTCACAAGGGAAACTATTAACCACAAACAAACAATGACTCTAGAGAGTGGAAAAGAGTAGACAGACTCACACGTTAACATCGTCACGACCTAGAAGCTTTATAGGAGTGCCAAGTTTAGGAGAGTTGTCAGGAAGATGGTGATGAAGCAGAATTTGCACATGCCACCATGAGGCGTTACGGAGGCGAACCCACACTAATCTTCCTACCGACGCATTAATGGCCTTCAAGTTTAGGTCATCATTACCCTCCATTACCCATGAAGAAGAGATGAAAAAGGCCAAAACTGTCCAACTGACTTAAAGCAAAAAAAATCACAACTTTATACTTTTGAAAACCTCAATGAAGTGACCAACCAACATGCAACCACAAGCGTACAACGTGAATAACAATGGGTAGAAAGAGAGAGAGAGAGAGAGATCTGTGAAGAAAACCTACACGGAAGAAGCAGAGGTCTCTGCGGTGTTTCTTGTTTATGTTGATTTAGGTTTCTCAATCAGTAACCCGCATTCTCCTTCAGATTCTTGCTCCGGCGGTTTGGAGAAGAAACGCAGCAAATGGGGAAAAAGGGTCAGAGTGAGAAGGGGAGAGGAGAGAGAAACGGCTTCTTCTAGTTGGAGAGAGAGAAGAAGAGGTGGTGGTCAAAGGAGCACATTCAAGGTGAAAGACTCTTAACTACAAACTGAACGACACTGTTTTAAGCCTCTCCTTTAGGTTATCTTTCTTTCATTCCTTTGGCCACGAGTGAAACAAATTGTGACTTCTTTTCTATGTTCAGACATCTCAAAGGTGTCAACTTTGGTTATATGTTCAGACATCTCAAAGGTGTCAACTTTGGTTATAATGACGTGAGGAAGTGAAAAAAAAAATAGAAAAAGAAAACATACCATTTTACTTGGCGATTTGGAAGACACTTTCGACGAGAGATTTCCAAGGGAATCGGCGCCATCGCCGGGCTCATCTGAACTGCCAGATAGCAATCGGTGTTGCAGGACGAGGATCTAAGGGAGGAAAAGTGATCTATGGCTCTGAATTCGAAGATAGGAGATCAGAAATGGGTTTCTGCAGTGCAGGATAAAAGGTGTCTAAAAACATATGAAGTGGAGATCAAATCGATTGACGATAAGCAAAAGGTGGTGATCCCATATGATATTTTTTTCTGATGCTACTCCGTTGTGGGAGAATTCATTGTAGAGAAATTTCTGGATATTGCGTCCCATATAGCGAAAGTTCATATGGTGGTGAATAAAATATGGAGCTATGGAGATCCAACATCAGAGATGGAGGTTTACGTTGTTAACGCAACAACGATGAGGTTTAAGATTAAGAATCAGAAGGTGAGAGAGAAGATTATCAAGAGAGGGATGTGGAATATAGCTGGTGTTTCTATGATTGTGAAGAAATGATCTCCAAAAACAGAAGAAGAAGCAGGAGGAGGAGGCAATTCTGATGTGGGTTCATTTGAGGAAGGTGCCTCTACATATGTTTTCATGGGAGGCTTTAAGTTTCATGACGAGTACTGTGGAGTTTCCTGTGCATCTGCATCCAGAGACGATAGCTTGTTAAAACTTTGAGGAGGCTAAGATCTTTGTTAATGTGGATGTCTCGAAATCTTTGCCAAAGGAAATTGATTTTGCTATAGATGGAAAGGAGTTCACAGCTGAGTTCTACTATCCTTGGCTTCCGTCGAGGTGTAACGCTTAGTGAAAAATGGGGCCATACGGAGAAGGTTTGTGTGATGAAGAAAATGGAGAAGAAGTATGGGGATAAAAGAGCTGTTGAGGGGAGTATTTCAAAAGCTGGTAACACAACTGCTAAAGAAGTTGATAACAAAGGTATGGAAGATGGACCACAGTCGGGTATTTTGATGAAGGCTTATGAGGTATCTGGTAATAATGAAGGGAATAGAGTAGCAGAGAACAAAGAAGTTAAGGAAAATTCTTGGTCCTCTCAAGTTAAACGTGGAAGATCGCAAGTAAAAACTCCTTGTAAAGATGAATTTATAGTTCAGATCTCGGCGTCTAAATATTTAGTCTTAAGTGTGGGTGAAGTTGAAGAAGGGGAAGCTTTACTAGAAGAATCACACAAGGAACCAGAAGAATTACATGAGGAAGCGGAAATAAAAATTGAGGAGGAAGAAGTAAATGAAATAACAGAGGAAGATTTGTTGGAAGACGACTTATTGGAACAGCAATCTAAGGTTAAAGAGAAAGCAGAAATGCAAAAATGAGGGAAGAGAGTCCAGAAAACTAAAGCTCAGGATGCAAATCCTAAGAGTAAAAAGTCTTCTAGACGAAAATACTAATCATGACGAGTTTTTTTCTGGAATGTGCACGGGTTGAATAAAGTTTTAAAACATTTTGTGGTTAGAGAGTGGATTTATAATAGGGAGATGAGATTTGTATGTATATTGAAAACGAGGATTAAGGAGAGAAAACCAGAAAGAATTTTAAATACAGTGTTCAGGGATTGGTCTTCTATTACCAATTATAAAGACAGTCGGGGTGGACGCATATGGTTTCTTTGGAGGGATATGGTTTGTATTACTCCAGTCTACAAGTCTGATCAAATTATAACTATGCTGGTGGAGCTTAAGGAGGAGGAAGCTTTTTATTGTACGTGTGTCTATGCTAGTAACCATGTTGAAGAAAGAAGAACTTTATGGGAATATCTTACTTTTCATCACAGTTCCCCAAATTTTAAAAATAAGGCATGGAGGATAATGAGTGACTTTAATGAAATACTAGAAGGTAATGAAAGCTCGAGTTTTGCTACTGTTCCTAATGGGATGGGGGACTTTCAGAATATTGTGCTACATTGCCATCTTACTGATATGGCTTATCAGGGGTCTCAGTATACTTGGTGTAATAAGAGAGATGAAGGTGTTATATGCAAGAAGTCGGATAGAGTTTTGTTAAATGAAGAAGCTCTTCTTTGTTTTAGTAATGCGTACTCAGTATTTGAACCAGGAGGATGCTCTGATCACATGCGGTGCAACATCCAACTGTCTCCTCCGAGTGAGAAAATCAAAAAGCCTTTCAAGTATGTCAATGCCATGGGAAGTATTTCGTCTTTTCTATCTATGGTTCAAGAATACTGGGCATCTACAAAGAGTCTTTTTCCCTCCACTTCAGCTATGTATGGATTCTCAAAAAAGCTGAAGAATTTGAAATCGCTTATTAGAGAGTTGGGTCGGGAGAAGATGGGTAATTTAACTAAACGAGCAAAGGAGGCTTATGGTGTTTTGTGTGAGAAGCAAACTGCTACTTTACAAGTCCAAGTGATGTAACTATCCAAGAGGAAGTGGATGCTTATGGAAAATGGTTACATGTTGCAAGTCTTGAGGAGGATCATTAGAAATAAAGAGCTAAACTCCAGTGGCTAGAGGCTGGGGATCAAAATAACAAGACGTTCCACCGTGCTATAAGATCGAGGAAAGAACATAATATGATAAGAGAAATTAGATGTCAGGGAGGTAATATTGTTAAAACTTATGAGGAGGTTAAGAAGGAGGCAGGGAGTTTCTTTAAGGATTTTCTCAATAGGTGTCCGAAAAATTATCAGGGTACCTCAGTGGAGAAGTTACAAGAATTGCATACTTTTAGATGCTCTTCTGAAGACTATCGTATTCTGGATGCTGAAGTTACGGATGAGGAGATTCGCAGAGTACTTTTTGCGATGCCAAATAATAAGTCTCCAGGGCCAGATGGGTTTCTTGCAGAATTCTTCAAGACTACATGGTCAGTTCTAAGCAAAGACTTTATTGTCTCGGTGCAATCTGTCTTCAAATATGGCTTTCTCCCTAAGGTAGTAAATTCAACAATTTTAGCATTGATCCCTAGAAAGCTTGACTCCCTTGAGATGAAAGACTATAGACCGATAGCGTGTTGCAACGTTCTCTACAAAGTGGTCTCAATTTTTTTTGGCTAATCGATTGAAGCAACGTCTTCCTCGTGTCATTCAAGAGAATCAATCTGCATTTTTGCAAGGTAGACTATTAATGGAGAATGTTCTTCTTGCTTCCAAACTCGTGAAAGACTATCACAAGGACACGGTAAGCCCCAGGTGTGTTATGAATATTGATATTTCAAAAGCCTTCGGCTCGGTGCAATGGTCATTTGTTTTGGAAAGCTTGAAAGCTCTTGGTCCCTGAGAAATTTGTTCACTGGATAAAGCTTTGTATATCACTAGCCCCTCTTTTTCGGTGCAAGTGAATGGCGATTTGGCTGGTTACTTTCAAAGTTCTTTTTCTATTCTATCTATGATACAGTAGCAAAAAAACCACACTTTCGTTGAATCGCAACAAGGGTTTTTCCCCTGGTGGTTCCGACAAAGACTCCAAGAAGATGGTCTCAGGAGAATAGGAAAGGCCCTTCCTTTGAATTTCTCTTCTTCAGCTTTTTTATGATCTGATAATTTTCATTCTTTTTTCCGACTAAAAAAGAATTTATTAACTTGAATGCTTGATTTACGATGCTGAATGCTCTTAACGTCCCTCTTGGCCATGAAATGACTCACCAAGACTGACCCTAGGCCTGGGAATATGTTCCGATCCTAACCAGTATCAATCCGAAAAATCGAGTTTCGGGTCGGATTCAGATATGATGAAATACCAATTGATATGCTGTCACATGTGTCTGACTTTATGTCATTGAGATATACCCAAAATCCGAACAACTATCCTAAAGTACCTGACTCTTATGTCACTGGGATATTAAACATAGGTTCACATGTAAACTTCTTGTTAATATTTGAAGTTCTTGTGTGATTGTGTTACTGTTACAGAAGTGTGAAATGTGTTTAGTAATATAGAATATTGAATGACACTAGAGACCTGATGTTGATATTCTTTTATGAATTTTTATAGGGTTTATTTTAAATTTTCAATTTACAATTCTTCTTCAAGTTTTGTGACTTCTTAGAAAGATGGATTTTTTTTTTTTTGAACAACAAGAATAATGGATTATTTCCTTTCTTTTCAATGTTGGATTTGTTGTTTGTTTAAGATTTGTGTTTAATTATTTGATTTTAGAATTCTCTTATTTTATCTTACTCTAAATGATTCGGGTAAATTAGATTAGAAACAAGTATTTTTGATTATGATCAGATAAAACTAAGACAATTCAAACTTGAACCTAGTTTTTTTTAGTTACTTCGGATATACCCGATCCATAGGTATCGAACCGAATCTGATCCAAAATTTTAAAAAATACCCGATCAGATGCCATTTTGCAATATCCAAAATACGAATCCG